TTGGAAAAGAGATGGGTCGCTTCGTTAAGTTCATGGCTATTTACTTAAGAAATGGATTTGGTTCAGCACTCGACCGGCCTATCATTGTATCATATCAAGCGTTCCGAAAATTTCTTCTGAAGCAGTCTTTTTGCTCATGCGATTTTTTGCCATCGAACAAACCTAACAATTGCTCTTGTTCTTTGTCTTTATTCAACTAATTGCTTCGATCAAGACGTGTATCGATGCGTGTCGTTTTGTTTACTCAAATCGATTACACCATCGCCTTACCCTTACAGTGAATGAATCATCTCTTATCCCACAAATTTGCTTCACTTATCTCACTTATGGTTATGATCTTTATTCTCAATAAAATCGAATCATGCATGGATGAATGAATGCAAATGCAATGAGCCGAAAAGCAACGTTCAATTGACCTCGAATTGTTCACAATCGAGCACAAATTCAGCAGAATGTTTTGAATGCAAAAGTTGCGNCTTATCCCACAAATTTGCTTCACTTATCTCACTTATGGTTATGATCTTTATTCTCAATGAAATCCAATCATGCATGGATGAATGAACGCAAATGCAATGAGCCGAAAAGCAACGTTGAATTGACCTCGAATTGTTCACAATCGAGCACAAATTCAGCAGAATGTTTTGAATGCAAAAGTTGCGAATAACAACAACAATTGATTAATTTTTCGGATGCATCCATCCATCGGAACAATATCTACGATTGGATCCATGCCAGTGTGTAACGCTGAGACATCCACATCCTCCTTTGGGAATTTCCTCTAAAAGTATCCATGTATTTCCTTTTTTGTCGCAAAATTCACGAGGCGTCTGAATCAAATTAGCGAGGCATTAGAGAAATTTAATTTTTTTCACTGAATAGCTTATAATTTTGAATGAATTCATCATTGATTGTTGCTGAACACATTTTCATTATGATTCGTCGTTTCTAGGCACTTAAGCTAGTGATAAGGCTGTTCCACTTTCATCGTACGACTTCAGAGTAGCACTGAAAGATCTCAGATTGCCTTTGTTCATCGATTCGTTGTCTCTGTGAATAGTAAACCTTTTGATTGAATTGTCTATAAATGCATCTTCATCGCGACTGCGTTAATTTTCATGAGTAGCGTTTTCAGTTTGTTCACTGTGTTTGAAAGCCATTTTCCGAAACGTGTCTCATTCCATCGATATCCTCCTCTCGTGACGAGTGCTTTACGCAGCGGTAAGTCGTGCTCACATAGAATACCTAAATTTGTTAGAGTCAGTCCCATTTCTTCATTACTGTACATAATCTGGCCAACTTGTATTAGTCATTGTGTGCCTCTGAAGAGGACATGCCGTTGTTATTGAATTCTCAACGACTAGTTTGTTATGAGACGCTTTTTTGTGAGTTGATGCCATTGATAGGAGTTGTTCCTGACAAGTGCGTTTATTTTGACATCGCTCATCACTACCGTGCGTCTAATGTGCGGGCAAGCCATTGCGCACAAGCCTCGTCTATGAGAGGTAAACGACAGAATGAATACGTTTGAAATGAGATAAACTCTGTTTCAGGCGTTCAAGTGTCCTTATAACCTTTTGTACTGCCCAAGTAGTGCCGTGCATTGTTGTCTTTTCGAATCATCAATCACGCATATACATATTCATATTATGGCATTCACTCTGAGTAATTTGATACATGATTCTACAATTCAATAATGACAGTAACACTTCGAAATACTCATATGCATTCTGCTGCCCATCAATGAATGATAATAATTTATTGCTGAATAAACGAACAAAAGAGAACACTCGGTGTGACCGAATGACAACAATAATAATCAACAAATAAGTTCATTACAAAGTAGAAATTTGCTTGGATGCAAGTGATAAGCTGCAAGTGATAACTGTGTCAAGAAATGTGCTGATGTATGCAGATAAACGGCTGATGTGAAATGCGATATGCAAGTTGGGGTACGCTCCTATGCGATAGTGGTTTTTGGCCTTATGCTGATAGCCAGAAGTGCGCATTGCTCTGTTCGTAAGACGCATCCTATTGAATTAACCATCGATTCTGGATCGATCCGTGGTGAATACCTCGTAAGTTTGAATTGTTGATAAGTTATCATCTTTACTGACAAACTTATGAGATGCTTACGTATTTATTCTTATCATTTACAGACAATTGGAGCTAACGATTTTGCTGTTTTCAAAGGGATTCCATACGCTGCACCACCAGTCGGTTCACTCCGTTTCCAGGTACTTCTTCGACTGAATCAATTTCATTTGAAGAAAGTCATTATAAGGGAAGGGATACATCGAGGTGTTTGCTGATAGCTGGCTATTGCTATGCAAACTGCAATTCGTTTCAGATGCCTGAACTTCCAGCGAAGTGGCGAGGAGTAATGAATGCGACACAATACTCGGCAATGTGCGCCCAAAAGCCACGAACACGCGACACAGATCCGTCACATCTTTATCGAGTTCACATTTCTGAAGACTGCCTCTACCTCAATGTTTTCGCACCTCCACAGGTAAACACTAATCTGCACTTAGCAGTTTCGTTCAATTGTAAACTTTTAGGAGATTATCATACACTCATAAACAATACCAGTTCGAATAGATGAGCCACTCGAACAAGTTATTTGTTATGATACGATATAGTTTTTGAAGCGATTGATAGATTTTTGGTAGAAAATGCTCGTATGTGAATGCAGTTTTGAACTGTGCAATTAATTGCCTTCGTAGCAGTGTTGTGTTCGTCCTTATCAACATGCGAAAACATTCGTCGATTTGTTTTTGAGTGAATTTGCTGAACAATATAGGCTAATTTGATTGCACTTCATCTACAACCGTTTCTATAAATACTAACGAAGTAGTATCCATGGAAAGTGTGGAACCGTAGTGGAACAAGAATGTTCGTAATTACTCTCTGTTACGCATTTCCGAGAGGAGAGTGGATCTCTTCCATTGCTATTTCTTTTACAACGAATCTATCAATGAAAAATAAATTCAAGCTATCACTCAATGAACCGTTTGTTTTTGACGAATATTTGAGGCGTGTCGAAACTAAGTCCTTTTTGAATATCTCTTCAAATGAGATATTCTTATGTTTATCTCTTTAATGAGATCAGATTTTTTGGAATTGAACTCACGCCTTCTGAACAGATCGCATCCTCAAAGCCCAGCGTTACACCAGTACACTATCGACCCTTTGCTCGATCATTCTTATTTGATTTAAGTACTATCTTCTTTTGAGTACTATCTATCGTTATATGCTAGCTTTTCGCGCTAATCGCGACAAAGCATCGCAATATCACTTCCGAATTGTATAGAATTGAAAGGGAGACCTGTCCCCTTATTCATGGAATGCAACAAATTTTGACAAATACCATTACGCGTATTGGTTTCCAAGGGAATCACTAATACTACTTCTAAGCTATCACCACATTCAAGCAAATAATGCATTCGTGGACATTATCCAGTCAAGACTGAGTTATTTCTTGTCTTAAGTGAGCAAGAAATTTAGTGACATAAACTTCGTTGAAACCTCTGAACCTTCTTCATATTTTAGTAACTACTGCAGCATTTCGAAAATTTGCAATTCTGGGGTACATCAAATTGATGTGCATTCTGACGTTTGTGTAGAACTGAAAATGAAAGATTCGATTAGAATAATGATGACTTGCTTCAATCTCACTCGCTATTTGATCTATGGGTTTCATGGGCATTCAAACTTCATCACTAACAGATTCATCTGTAGTATCGTAGTGAGATAAATTTATTAGGACGACATGTAAACATCGTCACGTCAATGATATGCCATTAGTGTTTATGCAAAAATGTAATTGTTGAAAATGACAAAATTTTTGATCGAATCAACGCAACTGATTTGCGGTAGAGGGAAATGAGAGAGGATGGAATGATTTATGTGAGAAGAGAGGCTTGAAGTTGTTGATTCGGGTATTATATCACTGCTTGGAATAACATCACAACAAACAACAACAACAAACTAATTTACATTTCCTCCTCGTATCATCGGCATCCAATGTTACGCTTAAACAAGTAAGCAAGAACAATCAACGATCGCATGCTGTCATTATCTTCGTAAACAAATTGCGTTTCAAGACAGGAAACTGATATAGATATATTGCAAGTCAGCAATCATGAGATAATTCGAGTTCAGCATGAAAGCCTCGAGAACAATCCAATGAAATGATTGCTCAACATGCTGATTTCAATTTTCAGTTCACCAATGATACATATCCAGTAATAGTGTGGATTCATGGAGGAGATTTCCAATCGGGTTCAAGTTCCGACTACCCGCAAGAGGCGATTCTCAACAATTTCGTATCTCGGAAAGTCATTTTCATATCGCTCAATTACAGGCTTGGCCCACTTGGTAAGATTCATTCTCGTCCAGCAATATTATTTTTTGCACAGAATGGCATCATGTCGTTGTGTTGATGCATCATCTCTCGCAAGATATCGTCATCGTATAACGTCATCTCAAAAAATAGAAAGAGAGTCGAATTTGAAGATGCTCGACTATGTTTACATGAAATGTATCGATTCCTTCAGACATTCACGCTTATTTCGTTGCTTCTTTGAATGGAAAGGCCAAGAGCAATGAGCAATGCTCGAGGGACGTGCACTGAAACGAAGCGGTAAAACGACTTTGTGCATTCATGCATCTTTCAGGCTTCATCTCTACTGGAGACGGAGTGATACCTGGAAACAATGGACTCTGGGATCAAATTCTTGCACTCAAATGGGTCAAGGTCGGTATTTGAAACGAAATTAATTTCTTGTTGATTTGCTAGTCATAAGACTGCATCGTTGCAGCTGAGAATAAAACGTTCAATCGCAAAATTGTTGTTGATTTTGCAGTTGAACGCTCATGTGTTCGGAGGTGATCCTGAGAATATTTCGCTGATGGGTCATGGCAGTGGTGCTGCTTGTGCGTCATTATTAGCCTTATCTCCTCAAGCTGAAGGTTCATTTTTCTGTTCAAATATCCAATATGCTCAGCTACGACTGCTTCAGATTTTGTATAGAAAAGAAATCGTCGTTGAAAATGAACCAAATTTTACGGTTGATTTGATGCGAATCACAATTTCGCAACTTTCTTTCTACTGCCATTTTATTCTTTCTAGCTCATCCCGTTCGGAGCGTTCAGTTATGAAGTGTGTTCAGATGTTATAAAATGTTTATATAAAAGAAATATTCACTGCAAATGAGAACTGTGCATCGCACAAGCATTACTCGAGTCATCGGCATTCCAATCTCTAACACCTCCAGCAATCATATGAGGGTGCCACAATCGTTTAATGTTCAATGTTGAATAACACAGTCAATTCAGTGAATGGTTGATCAACTATTAGAGCATAGCCAGATTTGTTCTGTAGTCATCATCAAATCGATTCAACTCAAAAATTTTTTGAAACTGACAAAAATAAGAGATTGCGGGGTGCGATAAGCAATTTGAGTCAGCTGAATAAAGAGAAAATGTTCAAATGGCTTGCGAAACATTTATGGATTTGTTGCAGGAGGCGATACCCGTTTCAGTCGTTAAACGTCGATGGATAATGAATTTCAGGGTTATTCCATCGAATAGTTTTGATGAGTGGTACAGCACTATCACCAGGTGTTGTTCGTGATACTGCAATTAATGCCACTTGGGCATTAGATCGTAAACTGCACTGCAGGTCTTTCAATTCAAGCGAACTTCTCGAGTGCTTCAGGAAACAACTCAAAGATGAAATCCTCGATGTCGTTGTTAGTTTATTGTTGCTGTTACCGAAGAGCGCTATCGTCATTCTTAGGCTTGTCGCCATTCCTTTCGAATGTGTCTGCGAAATAGTGCACTGACAAAAAGTACTGTTGAAGAGGACTCGCTATGATGATTATGAGGAATTCGTACCGATCGTCGATGGTGTCGGTGGTGTTTTACCCGAATCACCCGAAATGCTAGCATCATATCGAAGAAAACTGCCATTAATGGTTGGAACAACACGTGATGAGAGTGCGTTAAGGATAGGTATGCGAATAGAATGCTTGAAAAGAATCAAGCGTAAATAATTTCATTAATTGTTTCAGTAATTAGGAACGAGAAGAACGTCAATATGAGCGCGTTAACAGCTGAAGTTGCTGAGTCAATGACTGAGAATTTGACGGTCGCGTTTTCGGGATTTGTGAATCATCATCTCATAACTGAAGGTTGTAAGCACGAATATATATGGACCAAAATCGATCCAGCTCTTGATTCGTCGATTCTCTACAATTCAGTGCTAAAAGTTTGTTGATTTCCTCGCAGTTATTCCCGATAACAAAATTTGCAACAGCATCACAAATACATTTCATTCAATATTAGGGATTTCAGTCTTTCACTTAAAACTATTCAACATGCCTGCCATCAACATGAATTGAAGCATTGTATGATAGCAAATACGAGAATGTTCCGTGATTTTGATACAAAAATACGTCTTGATCAGAGTTGATGGTGATCTCATTGTAAATCTTTATGAGATTTCTCTTCCACAAATCACTTTCTCTATCGTCGGATTGCTTATTCATGAAACTGATGAAAAAGTCACGAAATCACGGAAATGTTAAGGAGAGTACAAGCATAGTGAAATGTGTATGAGCATTATGCTTGGTTTTGATGTGGACAATGCTTGTTACTTGCAGATGTATTCGCACTTCTGGTTCGATGCGCCCGCATCGCGGTTAGCAACCTATTATGCGAAAGGTGGCACATCTGTCTATTTATATTCGTTTGATCACGTGAGCGAGAATTTCGACATTGATCGTTAGTACTATTGCTTGATTAGTTTTGCTTTTATATGCTTTGCTAGCGATACTGATGATGACTGCTTTGAAGATATGCTCATCAAGTGAACGACGAACGTATCATCTGCGTTCCATGTTCGCTATCAGTAAAACGCTTTTCAGTTCTTCCCTCCTGTTTAGATCGTCCACAAAGTGCTCGATTAATCGAATGTTCTAAAAAGAAATAGCTCGTTCGAGCACCCGATCGGGAATGCTCTTACTTCCACAAGAACCCTATTTGAAATAGTTGAACTCAGTTGAAATTTTGATGGTTGAATATTGAAAACAGTTGATTTTGAGGTGCCTTTCATGGAGTCGATGAGATATTTCTGTTTGATGTTGAGCCGAGATTTCTCATGAAAAGGCGAGATCGTAACTGGCAGCTCGATCGAAGGCTGACCGAAATATTCGCTGACTTGATTATCAATTTTGCTAAAGTTGGGTGAGTTTGTGAATTGAATCATTCGTTTATAGCACATAATAAATTCTGGCCGTATGATGTGAATGATCTGAAGATATCAGACGAAGGATCCTCTTGTTTGTTTGTGATTTTCGATTTAGCTCAGTTAGACGTTCTTTTTCCTTCATAAACTATCATTCAGCTGATCCCAAACTCAGTAAGTTCTCAATAAATGAAATGAATGATCTTAAGATGACCTTAAATGAATGACCTTAAGACTTTCACCATTAAAATGTCAACAAATGAGTCTTATGATTGAAACAATTGTCACCAACAATTATAATCATTTCCAAGTTTTTGCAAAACAAAAACTATGAAACTGAGGTTTGATTTTCAATAAAGCTTCTAAAATTGTTGGAATCGTTGGAATGTACGATCAAACAAGAAATTTACCATCATAAAATGAATTTACAAACAGCAAAAAATGTGTGCATTAATGACACGAAATGCAGACGTATGCCTTCTCACTCCTTTGCGCACACATCTGCTCGTTTCGTGCAAAAACAACAGTAAGAACGGAAAGAAACGAGCATTTTCGCATTGAGACTTTTTTCATTTGTTGAAAAGAGACAAATTAACAGTGATGTGTATGATGACTGAAGACGACGCTTGTTTATAAGTTTTCCAAACAGAGCCGAGTTTCATGACGAGTTGTTCGGGACGTTTATTTGCACAACATGTAAAAGTTGGCAATCATGAGCGATATTCACAGATTGTCTAGCGTAAACACTCAAAATATGCAATTGAGTGCTTGCGGAGTGGAAAAATTTTGAGGACAAAATCAATCAACAATGATTTGCCACCAACCTCTTTGATTCTATGCCTTTGCTGTCTCCCCACCGTGACACCGTCAGATTCTTCTCATCAAGGAGAGTTTCTCTCTCTATGAAAACCACTTTTAAAGCGAACTATAAAAACTTCGCTAGAGTTGTTTTCATATGAAAAAGAGTCCATTTATGTATAAGCAATACGTTGGATTATTCTTGTTGATCACTTTTTGAACGGATTGATCTAAGAGTGAACTGATTAGAGATGAGTTCGGAGTTGGAAAGAATTTTAAACATTTATGTTCGGTGATTTGATTACTTTGTTCATAACTGTTTTTAGTGAGAACTAATTATGACGATAGATATTTGGTTGATTCATTCGATAATTCAGTGATGACTGTTGCTAGGACGAATGCCGTTCCACGATGTGTTCCATATCGTTCCTTTTCGCAGTCATAGCAGATTCGCGTTTATTTATTACGCTTTTTTTGATTTATTTCGAGGTGCACACAGCACTCCATACGAAAGTCGACTTCTCCGAGTTACCGACTAAACGTCAATTATTGCAAAAACTTGGCGCCAAGAAGTATGATTCGAAGAAAATTATCGCAGCGCAACGAATTGAGAACAGTGGAATTTGGAGTGTCTTAAGCCGAACAGATATTTAAGTTGAACGGGTTAGGGTCATTAAGCAATAGCAGGATTTCCGGTGATCCTCTCTCAACAGTGTATTCAGTTTGTGTTGTGCAATCAGGGAAATACCGCTCGTAAAAGAATCACCAAACTGTAGATGAGAACAAGCTGTGAACAATTGCAGAGTGCCTACTCCGGAGTGGTCTGGATTCGCGTTCAACTGGACAGCGATGGATGTGAATAGGCTTAACTATCTGTCCATAACGGATAGTCCCGAAATGGAGGTTGGCTTCAGATGGCAAGGACATGTTTTCTGGAACTGGTATGCAAGGCACTTAGATGCTGTCGACGTGGGAAACTTGCAGCGTATTGCTCAACTGGATAAGCAACTCGGCGACTATCAGGTTCGTGTTCTGCTCTCTTCATAGTTATGACTTCGAGGTGAGTAGACGATCGATCGCTTTTCGTATGGCGTTTAAGCTGAATGTACTCGTTACCATTACTCTCATCTTCCTCATGAACTCATTCTAAAGTGAGGTCTGATCAAATTGTGAAAAACTTTGGACGTCGATCATGAAATGTTGTGAATTCGTGGGTTTAACGAAGTGCCAATCTTCGTAAGTTTAAAACTGCAATCATCGCAACTGACATTATCGTCAGTTTTTGTTGTTAGTTTTGATATGCCTCGTGAAGTGTACAAATGCGGTTTATGTTCAAGGTCAATTACTAATTGTTTGTTGTACTTACTTTTTGAGCAAATTTTATCATTTAACCGTTATTTGGCCTTGTCAAAATGAGAACCAATCAGCAGAAACAATATTCTTGTGATTAATTTGGTGTTGTTCTGGAAATATTCGTTCAGGTTGCAAATCGCTGATTTTATCTTCGTTTCACTTGTCATTGGAGAACGCGCTTGCAAATGATAAATTGATCCTCCTCCAACAACGCAATATTCACTTAACAATAGACTGTCCATTTTTTGTTTGCAAAATCGATGCGGGTTATGAAATGCAAACAAAAATTCATGCCAGTGTCAAGCCCACTAAAGAATCAGACCCTCTAAAGAATCAGACTACATTTTCAGTTGGCTACATGGATGCTTCTATTTTGTGCTCTGTTCTTCTTCGCAATTCTCGTTGGATTAGCGTGTTACTGTACGAGGAAGGAGGCCGATGATGAAGATCTCTAATCAACACTGCCATTAGTGATCATGATCATACTGCTTATCACCCACCGCCATTTCATTCATCCGTTTATCAATCGTCCTTCCCAATTCCTAAGTTTGTTGTTCTGACTCGGTGCACATCCAAAACACACCTCAAAAGTTTATCGCCATGAGGATTGACCCGAACATTCAAATGTGATGATTGTCGTAATGTCGTAATATTGTGTTTGAATGTTTGTGTGTTCCGTTCGTATTTAATATGTCTATCTATAAATATGCTGCTGCTATTAAATGATACTTACAAATTATCATCATTTAAATGATCTTCCTTTTTTGATCAAATAACGATTTCACATGGAACGGTTCTCTTAAATTTATCTGTAATACTATCGTTGAACAATACAATATCATTCACTCAATGGAATATGCCTCGGAAAATATCATTTTCGTGGATCCACGATAAGAATTTCATTAGCCAACCACAATTTCACCGATCATTTGCAAAATATTAGTACATTGGTCGTTAAGTAGTAAATGGCAAACAAATATTAAGTAATAACTGCAAAACGTTGTTGATATCGGCAATGTTGATGATAAATTGCAAAAAACCTTTTATGGCCCTCCTCCTATGCCAACAGCAAATTAGCATGAAGTATTCGAGTAGAGGCGCCAAGATCATTGCATTCATGCTCTACTTTTAATGATCCATTCACGATCGAAAGTGACCACAACCAACCATTTTCACTCTCAACAAACCAACTATTCAATAAACCAAGTCAGCCAGCTCATGCAACGCGAATGAACCATCAACATTTCACTTTCTTTTTCTGAACGCTTTAGTTCCCAATGAGATAGAACATTTCCGTTTTCTTGTGTTTGCTTATAAAATACATCGCATCATTCATGCATAGCAATTAATGGTAACATTACATCACAGCAAACGGGCGTAATCGTCTAATATGAAGGGTAATCGCGTTGATCAAGGCAATGGAACGTGTTTCTTCATCGTCTTTACCGTCCGATAGGCCACAGTCATGTCGTACCTCGTACAAAATATGATGAAGTGCACCAACCCATCATCGATTGTCGATGACACGGCACGTATCATGCAACCGCACCACAATAACTCATGCCTAATCGCTAGCCAGCCGCCAGAAAACTTTCATGTTTCATTGCTAGGAGAACACAACGTAGGCTGTTGCAAGTGAACGCTTGATATGACAAGAAAATCAAAAATCAGTTGCAATATCAAATGTCCTTTGTATTTTTCTATAAAATGACTACGCTCATTTCATTAGTTTTTAGAGGAATATGTGGGATGGAATGGATTCATTGATGAGATCACGTCAATCGTTTATTCGAATGATAAAATTTGGTGATGACGCAATTGTGGGTATAACTGCATTCTGTGGTGTTTTGTTAGAAAAGAAAATATTTTCGAGAAGTGAGCTGAAAATGAAACTGAGCGAAACAATCACCCAACATTTGGTAGGTAAATAAAGCTGATGTGACGCAATTTGAGAGTGTTCGTATCAAAATGTGGATTGTTCAGTGTGAGTTCCGTATTGGTAATTAATTGAATTGTGTGAAGAGTAACGTTGATCCGATTGTAATAGAAGAATGGCGTTTTGAAAGCATTTCTTTAAAAGAGCACAAGATTGTTGTGTAATTTCATGTCCTGTTGAAGCACTCAACGAAAATCTAGACCTAGCCACAACAACAATGCTACACCTTACCAAAAACAAGAGTTACGAGCAGCAAGAGAGGCATATTACAGAGTGTTATCTACCAATCCATAAAGGCAACTCACACTGAAAATTTTAGAAAATCATTCGAAAAAAACTATTTTGTGTACGGTGGGTTCACTACAAGAGATGAATTTCAAAGAATATCGAAGAATAGGAAGTATTTGAATATCGATTTTGAAAAGCAAATTGCGTTTTAAGGAGAACAGATTTCTACATTCAACGAAACTGTGAAACGAAATAGCGGAGATTTCAATTAGATTGAGTACGACTACAGTCCTAGACGGATGATGCATTTGAGAGAGTGATGTTGCAGTATGATGTGTTAGGATAGTGATAATATTGTCATGATATGGAATAATTCAATTTCATCTATACCAGTGGTCCTCACGCTCGGGAGCTCCACTACCTTCTCTGATGGTCTGGCACGCCGTCATTATCCCTCCCCCCCCCC